CCCCTACCTCGGATTGAAATATACAGAATTCTTCATGGATATAGTTGACAATTTCAACCATTTAATCCCATCTGAGCACTTGGATGATGCCCTGTTTCTAGGCTCTAACCTAGAAATGAAGGCTGTGACGAATTTGCCACCGGCCAACATGTCATAGAAGATTCCTTAAAGAACATGCTCAGTGATAAAGATCCTATGCTTGGATCTGCAAGCACCCAATTCTGTTTACCAGTTTTGGATAAACGTAGAGCATAACTTTCAGATACCACCATCAACAGTTATGGGCATATGAGCGGCTGTGATATCGGAGGAGAGTGCCTTCTATGCATCCACTGGCTTGGAGGAAATCTGTTCCTGTTCATATCATTCATCTTAAGAGTTCTTATTGGAGGATTTCGTGGTGATCTACATTACGCTTTATGGCCCTGTAGGGTCGTGGAGTGGAGGTGAGAGGCCACTGCAGCAAGACTGCCCGGGGTCACCTTTTTTGGAGTGTGCTGTGATTCACTTACACCCCTGTATGAACTATGGACACCTTAGCCTGCACCTAAACCACTTATCAATTAGTCTCATAAGGGCTATTGTCTTTTGTATCCCCAGGCGATCCTGGGTCATGTTATTATTATCTGGTCTCATTATATTTTGTCTTTAGTCTTTTTATGCATCAACTTTTATATTCTATTCATTACCCTTATTTGGTGCGGGATAGATGCTGGCTGCTTCTTAGTTTTTATTCACCATTTACCATTAGAGCGCAGGAGGATTTTATGTGATTCAATTTTGAAGGTATTTGCACTGTCCTGGCTGTTTAAGGGCCTCAGGAAATGAGATAGGCAGTCAGTATATCAGAACTGATCAATTTTCAAATATAGATACCATAGTTGGTAGGCTCTATAATTTTCACATAGACTAAATAATATACACTGATTTGGGTTAATTTTGTCAAAGAAATGCAGCAGCATACATTTTGCCTACATTTATGAAAGATTATTTGCAAAATTTTATAACAAACTTTTTTTTTCAAAACGTTTCATATTTTTTTTATATATAGCAAAAAATAAAAAAAAAAACTCAGTGGTGATTAAATACCCCCTAAAAGAAAGCTCTGTCTCAAAAAAAATTATTAAATTTTCATTTGGATACAGTGTCGCATGAGTTGTAATTATCATTCCAATTGTGAGAGTACTTAAATCTGAAAAGTGGCTTTGACAGGAAGGGGGTGAAAGTGTCTGGTATTGAAGTGGTTAAAGCAATTCTTGGGAATTTGTGGGATATGAGCATTGCTGTAGAGGAAGAGGCAGTGTTTGCAGTGAGCAACCACACTACAGCACTCACACCAATAAACAGAATCTTATAGTACAGATAAGCTGGGAGTGAGGGGTTATGGGGAATCTGGAATAATAGGGAGAATTTACTTTCATGGGGACTGATTCAAATCTGGAGAATAGAGACATTACTGGAAATATGCCCCTGGTAAGTGGTTTATTTCTGACTCATTTCTAGTTGGATAAATTACTTGCGATGAGCAGCACAAAATTTTTCAATTTTCATTCAATGGGTAACTTATAGGTGGGTTGTTCTGGTACAGTTGCAAGAAAAAGTATGTGAATCCCTTGGGATTACGTGGAGTTTTGCATGAATGGGGCATAAAATGTGCTCTGAATGTCATCTAAGTCACAACAATAGAAGAACACAGTCTGCTGAACATAATACTACACAAACATTAGATGTTGCCATGGTTTAATTGCACATAACATGTAAACATTCACAGTGCAGGGAGGAAAAAGTATGTGAACCTTTGGACTTAATAACTGGTTGTCCTTCCTTTGGCAGCAATAACCTCAACCAAACGTTTCCTGTAGTTGCAGATCAGACCTGCACAATGATCTGGAGTAATTTTGGACCACTCCTCTTCACAAAACTGTTTCAGTGTAGCAATATCCTTGGGATGTCTGGTGTGTATCGCTCTCTTAAAGTCATGCCACAGCATTTCAATCGGGTTGAGGTCAGGACTCTGACTGGACCACTCCAGAAGGCGTATTCTGTGCTGTTGCAGCCATTGTTTTGTTGAATTACTTGTATGCTTTGGGTCATTGTCCTGTTGCATCACCCATCCTCTGCGGAGCTTCAGTTGGCGGACAGATGGTCGTACGTTTTCCTGCAAAATGTCTTGATAAACTCTGGAATTCATTTTCCCATCAATGACAACAATCCGTCCAGGCCCTGAGGCAGCAAAGCAGCCCCAAACCATGATGCTCCCTCCGCCATGTTTTACAGTGGGGATGAGGTTTTGATGTTGGTGTGCTGTGCCTTTTTTTTCCTCCACACATAGTGTTGTGTGTTCTTCCCAAACAACTCAATCTTGGTTTCATCTGTCCACAGCAGTATATTTTGCCAGTAGTGCTGTGGAACATCCAGGTGCTCTTTTGCAAACTTCAAATGTGCTGCAATATTCTTTTTGGACAGCAATGGCTTCCTCCGTAGTGTCCTCCCATGTACTCCATTCTTGTTTAATGTTTTCCTTATTGTAGATGTGTCAACAAAAATGTTAGCATGTGCCAGAGATTTCTGTAGGTCTTTAGCTGACACTGTGGGATTCTTCTTTACCTCATGCAGCATTCTGTGCTGTGCTCTTGCTGTCATTTTTACAGGATGACCATGCCTAGGGAGAGTAGCAACAGTGCTAAACTTTCTCCATTTGTAGACAGTCTGTCTTACCGTGGACACATGAACATCAAGGCTTTTGGAGATACTTTTGTAACCCTTTCCAGCTTCATGCAAGTCAACAATTCTTGATCGTAGGTCTTCTGAGAGCTCTTTTCTGCGAGGCATGGTTCACATCAGACAGTGCTTCATGAAACCAGTAAACCCAAAACAGGTGTGTGTTTTTTAAGGGCAGGACAGCTGTCAGCAACACATCCAATATCATCACACTGATTGGAGTCAAGGTTGGCTCACTCCTGGCTCCAATTAGCTCTGGGAGAAGTCATTAAGCTAGGACCTCACATACTTTTTCCTCCCTGCACTGTGAATGTTTACATGTTATGTGCAATTAAACCATGGCAACATCTAATGTTTGTGTAGTATTATGTTCAGCAGACTGTGTTCTTCTATTGTTGTGACTTAGATGACGTTCAGAGCACATTTTATGCCCAATTCATGCAAAACTCCACGTAATCCCAAGGGGTTCACATACTTTTTCTTGCAACTGTATATGACCTATATCTGTGGACAGCACACTCCTACACCTTTAGAACAGACTGAAGATCATTTATCCCTTGTTTAACTACTTCACATTTAATTTACTTACTCTTCAGCATTGATATCAGCTCTTCTAGGAATCCCAACCACTTATCTAACTCTCCTCATTTACACAAGTCACAGGATAGGACCATTTATCCACCTCAGCTCCAGCAGCATACCCCTATATCACAGGAGTTTGAACCGTTGCACTGGGATGATGCCTGCAGCTGCATCCCAGTGCTGTTATTTAGAGATGATGACCATTTTTCTTGTAATTGCAGTTGGAGCAGCTACCTAGCCGCTCCATTGCTATTACAAGCAGCAGGAGGGGATGCCCCTGCAACGCCTTCTACGACTTTAACAGGAGCTCCCACCCCACTGGGATTCCAATCGACCAGCCAGTGGATTGGCTTTGTTCGGGTCCTTTAAATAGTAAACTGGAAGTGATGACCTGACATCACTTCCGGTTTACTCAGAAATACACAGTGCCATATTTGAAACATTTTTTAAAAAAAGCATTCATCCACACCAATTTTGGTGTGATTGAATGCTTTTAAGGACAGTGGAGGGATTTGGGGTTTCATTGACCCTAGATCCCTCCATAAAGAGTATCTGTCACATGCCTATTGCTGTCACAGGGATATATAGTGCTAAAAAAACAAAATTAAAGTGACAGTGTAAAATTAAATAATGAATGAATAATAAAAAAAAAAAAAAATTAAAATGCCCCTGTCCCCCCTTCATGCTTGTGTGCAAAGGCGAACACTTGTGTCGGTCCCGCACACACGCGAGCAGCGATCGTTTAACACATGTGAGGTATTGCTGCAAACATTAGATCATGGGCAGTACTTCTAGCACCAGACCTCCTCTGTAAATCTAAGATGGTAACCTGTAAAAGCTTTTAAAGTGTTGCTTATGGATAGTAAGATTTATATTGTTTGTCACCGTTGCATGGGTGGGTGCAATTTTAAAGAGTGACGTGTTTGGTATCTATTTACTTGGCGTAACATCATTTATATTTTACAAAAATGGGTTATGTATTATGTTTTTTTTTGCATTAAAATTCAAAAAAGTTTTTTCCCCCATAAAATTGCGTTGGAAAAAACACTGCACAAATACTTTGTGACATGAAAAATTTGCAAAACCCACCAATTTATTTTCTAGGACCTCGACTTTAAAAATATTATAATGTTTGGAGGTTCTAAGTAATTTTCTAGCAAAAAATACTACATGCTACATGTAAACAAATGGGGAAGAAAAGGCTTGGTCTGGAAGTGGATTTTATAATGGTTATACAGTTTTCATATCATCTGGATTACATAATTTTCCCCCAGCAGTACAGGCTCTTGGTATGGATTGTTAGCAGAAAGTCCTGCATAATAAAGACATTTCATTTTTGTTCAATATTAACAGCCTATAATGGTTTACTGTGCACCATACAAAAGTGGTGACGCAGTGGAACTAACACCAAACCAAAACTATACTGTTTTCAAAATATGGTGTTTTTTTCATCTCACCTGAGAGAGGAGGGCCTCTTCATCTGCTCTACCTGTTTCATGGATTTCCTCATCTGACTCCTCTTTTAACAATGCTGCTGCTGGTAGTGTGGACTCCTCACTGAGTGACACCTTGCTGTGCGCTACCACCTGTTGGCCTGGTTCTTGCATAGTAGACTCCTGATTGGATGGTGTGAATGGTCCAGATCTTGCATCGCCATCCCCATCTTTCTTTTCGTTTCTTTCTGCTGCTACTTGTTGGTCTGTGTCTTGTAGTGCTAACTCTTCAGTTGTTGACATGAAAGGTCCTGATCTTGCATCTTTACCCCCATTGTCTAATTCTCTCCTCCCAGCTCTCACCTGCTGGTCCAGCTTTAGTTGTGTAATTTCTTCACCAGAAATCATTTCATGTGTCAATTTTTCCTCTGGGATAATTACAACATGGAAGTACTTAGTGTAACAGGAATCTGTTATGTTATATTTTCATGCAGTTGCTGACAGAACTGTTTAACCTATAGCAGATTTATTTCTGAGACGACATTATCAAATTGAACCTACCGGCAATGCTGTAGATGTCAGTGCTGTCACTAGAATCGCTTAGTTCCACTTCTGAATGGCAGATCTTCTCCCTGAGAGCTCTGTCAAGCCGGCGGTGTATTGCCTGCACTAAAGTGGAGTATAGAGTAACCATATCTTATTACAGTGAAATCTTATGCAGAGCTCAGACAATAACACTCAGATACTTTATACTGCGTGTTGACTTTTTAAAAACTGATTGATACCTTCAGCATAATTACTGGAGATAGTAAGTCAGTTGTGTATTTCAAAATGTCTCTCCCCAAGAGAAGAACTTTGTTAATAAAATACAATACTGTTAGGGCCTGTGTCAGAAGGTTTTGAACTAGTGTTAATGGCATCCGTTTAAGACACTTCTGAGATAATTCAGAATTCATTGACATTGGTGCATTTGACCTGCAATTGACCCCCTTCTGGCCTGCATTTGAACTGCTTCAAATAGGTTTTGCATTCTCATAGACATTTATGGGAATGCAAAACTCTTTAACACAGGCCTTCAAACGCCTTACCCGCATCATCGGGTTTCCAACAACTCTGATTACAGTTGGGTCATTCATCTCAACATAATGGATTCTGCCAGATGATCCTTATTGCTCCCTTGAGATAAGACCAAACATACCCACTCCTTTCAAACCATTTAATATGTTTGTCGAGAATATTTGCAAGTTTGTTCTACAGAGCAATCAACGATCCAGGCTCAGCAGCCACAGCTAGCCTCTCTCAGGTAGCAAAAAAAGCAGCAAGAATCAGCAGATTCCTGACGCTGCTGTTTGCTCAGTGGCTAATCGCCTGTGTGAATGTAGCCTTAGATTGACTAGTTTATTTTACTTCAGATTCTTCAATTAACTCTTCACTCTCTTCTAACACAACCATAGGAGCAGTGCATCTGGATTGGTGCAACTTCAGTAAACCCTTGGGAGCTATACCCACACCCCATTCTTTTAATTACACTTGGTCTGCTGTTTGCCGTGGAAGACTGTCACTTCAGTATGTGGTACTGCTTTCAGAGTATTCACCAAGGTGATAGCCTGCATCTAGGGGGCACAATTTGCCCTGAGGGAGCAACCTGCTTTGCTCCTAGAGCTCAGTGTGATTCAAAGCAAATGTGCAAACTCTGGAAAGGTTTTGATGGATTCTGAATTTTCAGAGGTCAGCCTTAGTCCCAACTTAAAGGTTGGATTATTTAGGCCCACTGCAGGGCATGGTCTATTCCCTCAAGAAAAATGTCTTGCTCTAAGGACTCCGATGGAGTTGCTTCAACTCTCACAAATCCCTGGGTCCTGGGTAATATGTTCGCCTCCTCCGAGGCAGTTCCCAGTACCCAGTTTTATTCCAGACCCCTCCAACTGAATGTCTTATCGACATGAGACAGGAGGACACAGTCATTGGAACCCCTGAGGCATATATACCCCAAAACGACACTATCTCTGGATTGGTGGATCTCTTTGCGAATGTTGGAGGCGGGAAAATTGTCGTTCCCCCCCCCCCCCCCCATGTACTGGAGGTTTTGAAGATGGACCCCAGCCTAGTAGGTTGGCGTGGAGTTGTACACAATCTCTCGGTCCAGGGGACTTGGTCACTGCAGGAAAGGTCATTGCCCATCAACACCCTGGAATTGAGGGAAATTCACCTTGCCGTGGTGCATTGCTCGCACAGCTGGAGGGCCTCCCTGTTGGATTCAGTTGGATGACTCCACGACATGGTGTACATAAGTCATCAGAAAAGGCACCAGAAGCCAGGCTGCTCAAGAGGAAGCTGATCTCATCCTGTCTTGGGCGAAACTTCATGCCCCCCCGCCCTGTCCGATGTCCTCATTCCCCCAGGCATAGAAAATTTGTCAGATTTTCTCAGCCATCAACAACTAACTCTGGGTGAGTGGGCCTTTTTTTTTTTTTTTTTTTTTTTTTTTTTTTTTTAAATATTTATTCATTTTTTCAAGTAAGACAATACACATTTCCATAGTGTAAAATATAACATTACAAAATCTCATAAAACACTAATTTCAAATCATTTTCTCCCCATGACTCCCTTCCTTTTAACCCTCCCACCTCCCACCCCGCTTCAAAATACCCCTGACATCTATCTGATCTACTTGTATCTCATATCCTCTGGAAACCGAGGCCTGGAAAAGGAAAAGGAAAGAAAGAAAGGCCAATTCCTATATTTTCTCTCTCTCCCTGTCACTTCCCCTTTTTCTTCCTTTCTTTTGTCCTCTCTTACCCTTTTCTTTATGCTTACTTACTCAGTACCTTTCTTTACCTTCCCTTTGAACTCCTCCCATTTCTCCCATTTCATATGATATGTCACCATCCTATCTTCCTGTATATAATAAAGTTTTTCCAGTCTAGCAATCTGGTCCACTCTATTTATCCAGTCCTCTTCCCTCGGTGCTTCAACTTTACCCCAGAACTTAGGAATCAGACTTTTTTGCTGCATTTAAGTAGCACAATATACTCAGTTCTCTATATTTATTTCCAGGTAATTTTGAGTTATGAAAAAGACAGGTTTCAGGATCCAATCCTATCTCCATTCCAGTGATATTCGTGATTTGATTTATAATTTTTTCCCAATATACTTGTATTTTTGAGCATTCCCACCATATGTGATACATCGTGCCCAACCCTCCACACCCTCACGCCAACACCAAGGTTGCTTCTCCTCACTCATCTTGTGCTCTATCACCGGTGTTAGATACCACCTTGTCAAACATTTAAAATTCATTTCTACCTCACGCATGCTAATATTTTCGTGTACCATTCTAAAAATATTTTCCTCTGTGTGTGCTCTTCCCACTCCACTCCTAGATCCTTTTCCCATTTTTCTATATATTTTAATTTAAACTTACTATCTAAGTCCGTGAGAGCTTTATATGCTTTAGCAGTGCTGTGTTTCCCATCACCTCTATCTTCTAAGTATTTCTCAAATTCATTCCACTCTTTCCTAGTTCTAAGGGGCTTCGTCAATTTCTCCACAAATTGTTTCAATTGATTGTATCTCCATATATCTATCCTAGTGAAAATCCTTCCCTCTTCCCTTTTCAAATCCTCCAGTGTTCTTAAGTGTACCCCCTTCATTACATCTCTCAGCTGAGTATCTTCCTTCATATCCATTCTACCTGAAATTTCCTCTTTACCTGGGGGAAAAAAATCTCTGAATTTCTTAGTGACATCAACAGTGAATTGAAGTCCCATTTTCCTCTGTTTGTGCATTTTATCCCACTCCCTTATTACAATCCTCGTGTATATACTCGTGCTCTCTCTAATTCTCTAAACTGTGGTGACACCCATACACTCCTACCCAGATCCTTTCTACTATGTGTGTTTTCAATCGTGACCCAATGTTTACTCTTGAATTATGTATCCAGTCAAAAATTCTTGCTAGAATGACTGCCCTATGGGTATCTTTTAAAGTCCGGTAATCCCAACCCCCCTTTTTCTTTATTTCTGCTTAACACAAATTCATATATGAATATTCCTAGGTTTTTTTTTTTTTTCCATAATAATTATTTAGTTACCATTCGCTTAATTGTCTTAAAATACACCTCTGGGAGATTAATGGGAATCATCTGAAATTTATACAGTACTTTTTTTGGGAGAATTACCATTTTTATCAGGTTAATAACGACCCAGCCAGGAAGGATTCCACTACCCATTTTCCTCAATTCCTCTCTGATTTCGATTTAACATTGGGATATAATTAGCTTTATAAAGATTTTTCTGTGAGGGAGTAAGTTTTACTCCCAGGTTACTTTATTTCTCTATCTTTCCATATAAAGGGAAAACTCTCCTCTGTATATTTTCTTTTTCACTTCATTGGGAAGATTTATATTTAATATCTCTGTTTTGCTCGGGTTGATTTTTAGATTTGACATTTCCCCATATTCTTTCAGTGTTTTCATTAAGTTAGGAAGTGTTATTCTCGGGTTGCCAACATAGAATAATAAATCATCCGCAAAAGCGGCTATCTTATGTTCTGTCTTTCCAACATTTATTCCCCTTATATCTATATTTTTCCTAATTGTTGATAACAGGGGTTCTAATGATAGAACAAACAACTGTGGGAAAGTGGGCATCCCTGTCTGGTTCCATTTGACATAGAAAAGGGTCTCTGATCTCTCTCCGTTTACCATTACCATCGCGGACGGTCCTTCATACAACTTTCCAATCCACTTTCTCATCCTACTACCCAATCCCCAAGATCTCCAGTGTGTTGTGTCTATCATAAAACTCCAGTTTAACCCTGTCGAACGCCTTCTCCGCATCTATCGAGAGCAGCAACAACTGGTTTTTTTTTCCAATTTACTTTTCTGTATAAGCATCAAGGGACCTCAACCCATTATTCTCGACCCTCTCTTCCTCTAAACAAAGCCCACCTGATCTCATGTATCCAGTCCGGCATCAGATCTCCTAACCTATTCGCCAATACTTTTGCATACAACTTTCGTATCTACGTTTAATAATGATATCGGTCTATAACTTGAACAGTTGGTGATGTCTCTTTACCTTCCTTATGTATCAATACCACCCTGTGCCAGAAGGGATTCCTGTCTTATCACCATCTCTCCCCCCAACGCCTCCATATATCTCTCTTTAACTTAGGTATCAGTAAATCAGCATATTTTTTATAATACCTCACTGATATTCCCGTCTGGACCTGGGCTTTTTCCCCGTCTAAAGCTTTTTAATGCTATTTGTAGTTCTTCTCTGTGTGATATCAGATTCTAAGGAGTTTATTAATTTCTGCATTTAATTTTGGTAATCCTGCCTTCCTTAAATAATCTCTTTCTTTTTTCAATATTTTATTACTTTTATCTTTATTTATATCATCCTTGTGGGGCAAATATTGTATAATTTACTATAGTAATCTTTAAATACCTTTGCAATTGTCTTTGGTTGAATGGACTAACTCTCCTTGGAGTTTTTTATTTTATCTATGTAGTTTCCTGTTCTTCTTTCTCCTCAAGGCTCATCATCAAGTATTTTCCTGATCTATCTCCCCATCTATATTTTGTATTTTCTCCACTGATCTTATTAAAAGTTCTCATTTTTTTTCACGCCTCCATTACTTTCTCTAGTTCTTCCCTCTTTTTT